TTATCGTCAACAAAGGAGGCAAGGACATACAATGAAAAAAGACAACCTCTTTAACAAGTGGTGCTGGGAAAACTGGTCAACCACTTGTAAAAGAATGAAACTAGAACACTTTCTAACACCATACACAAAAATAAACTCAAAATGGATTAAAGATCTAAATGTAAGACCAGAAACTATGAAACTCCTAGAGGAGAACATAGGCAAAACACTCTCCGACATAAATCACAGCAGGATCCTCTATGATCCACCTCCCAGAATATTGGAAATAAAAGCAAAAATAAACAAATGGGACCTAATGGAACTTAAAAGCTTTTGCACAACAATGGAAACTATAAGCAAGGTGAAAAGACAGCCTTCAGAATGGGAGAAAATAATAGCATGTGAAAAAAAAGACAAAGGACTAATCTCAAAAATATACAAGCAACTCCTGCAGCTCAATTCCAGAAAAATAAATGACCCAGTCAAAAAATGGGCCAAAGAAACAAACAGGCATTTCTCCAAAGAAGACATACAGATGGCTAACAAACACCTGAAAAGATGCTCAACATCACTCATTATCAGAGAAATGCAAATCAAAACCACAATGAGGTACCATTACACCAGCCAGGATGCCTGCTATTCAAAAGTCTACAAGCAATAAATGCTGGAGAGGGTGTGGAGAAAAGGGAACCCTCTTACACTGTTGGTGGGAATGCAAACTAGTACAGCTGCTATGGAGAACAGTGTGGAGATTCCTTAAAAAACTGGAAATAGAACTGCCATTTGACCCAGCAATCCCACTCCTGGGCATACACACTGAGGAAACCAGATCTGAAAGAGACACGTGCACCCCAATGTTCATCGCAGCACTGTTTATAATAGCCAGGACATGGAAGCAACCTAGATGTCCATCAGCAGATGAATGGATAAGGAAGCAATGATACATATACACTATGGAATATTATTCAGCCATTAAAAAGAATTCATTTGAATCAGTTCTAATGAGATGGATGAAACTGGAGCCCATTATACAGAGTGAAGTAAGCCAGAAAGATAAAGACCAATACAGTATACTAATGCATATATATGGAATTTTTAAAAATGGTAACGATAACCCTATATGCAAAACAGAAAAAGAGACACAGATGTACAGAACAGACTTTTGGACTCTGTGGGAGAAGGCAAGGGTGGGATGTTCTGAGAGAACAGCATTGAAACAAGTATACTATCAAGGGTGAAACAGATCACCAGTCCAGGTTGGATGCATGAGACAAGTGCTCAGGGCTGGTGCACTGGGAAGACCCAGAGGGATGGGATGGGGAGGGAGGTGGGAGCGGGGATCGGGATGGGGAACACATGTAAATCCATGGCTGATTCATGTCAATGTATGGCAAAAACCACTACAATAAAAACAAAAAAATTCATTAAAAACAACTGAAAAAAAAAAAGACTACCAAGATAAGATATAAACATAGACTTGAGAAATATCACTGAATACTTTTTAAAAAACAATTGTTGGCACATACATGATTTACAATGTTGTGTTAGTTTCAGGCATACAGCAAAGTGAATCAGTTACACATATACCTATATCTGTTCTTTTTATTTTAAGATTCTTTTCCCATATAGGCACTGTGCAGTATTGAGTAGAGTTCCCTGAGTTTTACAGCAGGTTCTTCCAGGTTATCTATTTTATATATAGTAGTGACTGAATATTTTTATACCAAGTAGTTGAACTTTAATCTGTATGAGACTGAGAATTTCTAAAAGTTATTTGAGAATGGCAATGACCAATCTAGAAACTTGGTGCAGAACAGAGATTAGGAGCAGAGAGGTCAGTTAGAAAGCTACTATAATAATTAAGAACTAATGACTGTTTGAACTTAAGTAATGGATTAATCTGTCAATGATCACCTTTCAAAATGCTCAATGTTCACAGCTGACAAGAATGCGGTAAAATAGGCAATGTAGAATATTGCTGGTTGGAGTGGGATTGGATTTAAGACACAGAGGAGAAGAGATAAAAAATACCAGAAGACTAATAGATATCAAGGATGAGAAAAGAGAATAGATATATTGAAGATGACTATGAGGTTTCAAGTCTGATTATGCAAGGTGACCAGATTATTAACAGAAATGAGGTAACAAGAGGAGATGACAGGAAAGAGAAGAATGTACTCAACAGATCATGAGGACCTACATTGATTCCTCAAGATACTGCTTAAGCTAGGAAAAATTCACTTGAATTTAGTGTCTATATTTACATATGTAAAGTGATGTAAGAATGGTTCAATATCTGCAAGTCAATCAATGTGATACACCATAATAATAAAAAGGATAAAAATCACACGATCAGAAAAGGCAGTTGACAAAATTCAATATCCATTCATGATTTTAAAAAAAACAACAAACTCTCATCAAATTGTATAGAGGGAACATATCTCAGCATAGTAAAGGCCATATATGATACAATCACAGCTAATATCACCTCAATGCTGGAAAGCTGGAAGCATTTCCTCTAAAACTGGGAACAAGACAAGGATGCCCACTAGTACCACTTCTAAATAAATGGTACTAGAAGTTCTAGCCATGGCAATCAGATAGCAAAAAGAAATTAAAGCTATTCAAATTTAAGGAAGGGCAGGGCAAAAATGGGGCTTCCCCAGTGGCTCAGCAGTAAAGAATCTGCCTGCAATGCAAGAAATTCAGGAGATGCAGGCTCGATCCCTAGGGGAGGAAGTTCCCCTGGGGTAGGAAATGGTAACCCAGTATTCTTGCCTGGAAAATTCCATGGACAGAGGATCCTGGCAGGTTATAGTCCATGGGGTCACAAAGAGACACAACTTAGTGACTAAACGACAAAAACAACAAGGGCAAAATGACACTACTTGCAGATGACCCGATATTCTACATAGAGAACCCTGAAGTCTCCACCCAAAAGCTATTAGAACTAAAAACTGAATTCAGTAAGGTTGCAGGATACAAGATTAATATACAGAAATCTGTTAGTTTACTATACACTAATAATGAAATACCAGAAAGAGAAAGCAAGCAAACAATCTCGTTTAAAACTGTGTTAATAAAATACTTAGAAATAAACTTAATCAAGGAGGTTAAAACTATACTTTGAAAACTATAAAACATGGATAAAGAAAATTTGTAGATGATACAAAGAAATGGAAAGATATTCTGTGGTCATAAATTGGACAAATTAATATTGTTAAAATAACCATACTATCCAAAGCGATCTATAGATTTAATGAAATCTCTATCATAATAACCAGGACATTTTTCACTAACTAGAATAATCAGAAAATTTATACAGAAGTGCAAAAGACCTTGAATTGCCAAAGCAATCTTGAGAAAATAGAACAAAGCTAGAAATATCACCTTCTCAGATTTCAGACTATATGAAAAAAGTCTTGAAATCAAAATACTGATATTGTCACAAAAACAGACACATGGATCAATGGAACAGAATAGAGAGCCAGGATATAAATTCACACACTTAAGGTCAATAAATCCATAACAAAGATGTAAGACTATACGGTGGAAAAAATATAGTCTCAGTGCTGGGAAAACTGGAAAACTACATGCAAAGAAATGAGATTAGAACATTTCCTCACACCTTATACAAAAATAAACTAAAAAAAAAAAAAAAAGAATAAACTCAAAATGATTTAAAGATCTAAATGTAAGACCTAAAACCATAAAACTCATAGAAGAGAATACAGGCAGACTGCTCTTTGATATAAAAGTAAGCAGTATTTTTTTCTGGACTTGTCTCATAAGGCAAATGAAACACATGCAAAAATAAACCATGAAACTAAATTGAACTTATAAGCTTTTACACAGCAAATGACATGATTATTAAAATTAAAAGACAATGTATTGAATGGGACAAAATATTTGCAAATGATATGACCAATAAGGGGTTACTATCCAAAGTATAGTTTGATTATCTTTTATTAGATATTATATCTTTATATTTTATTAGATATATGTAATATTGATCTATCACCAACTTGAAGCCTGGTAATTTCTCCCTCGTGTGTACATACAGTAAAACTTCTAATTTTTAATGTTTTCATTATAATTGATTATCATTGTCAGTTTTCTTATAACAAGTTTCTCTAGTGTCCAAGTAATAATTTATCTGCAATTCAGGGTAACTGAAATGGTTCAGTCTTATCCTTGCATATTACTGTTTCCTTGAGAATTTCCAGGACAACGTTAGAAAGCAAACAAAAAACTAGTGGTAAGGGCATGAATCCTTGTCTTGCTCATCCACACATCCCTTACAGCAACTGGATTGTTTTGTGATAAAATTTAATATTTACTGAAGAGAAGATTGACCTAAAATTCCCTGGTGAACCATATATCTTTAACTGTCGATAATCTGGAATACAGAATTTTCTGGCCCTCTTTTATAGGTGGAGAAATTGAGGTTCAAAAAGTTTATCATTTACACAAAGCCCGAGGATTAGTTTAAACAAAATCTCTCCCAAATTCTTTTTCTGTTATGTGAATAGTGACTATTAAGGTGCTTGAAGAAAGCTGGCTCTGGCATCACTGCTGTGTTCCTTTCAGACTTAAGACTATTAAGAAGCCAAGGTTCCAACAAAGCACAGTTACCCTAGTAGTTAACCTTGGGCTGGGTCTCCGCAGTAGTCAACACCAGCCCTGTGGCGAGGCGGGGTCTCACGCTCTAACCTATATGATTTACAGGTTTGGGGGGCGAGAGGCAGGTTGGAAATCACAGCTTATCGGATGGAGGCAGAGGATCCTTGAAGACCGCTCCTGGCTCTCAAACCAAGAGGAAGGCCAAGATTTGCTGGTCTTCAGTGCTGATCATTCTCTCAGCCGAGTCGCCTCCTCTCCGCCCCCTGCAGGCCGACCACGGAACTGCTCAGGGGCCGAGTAGGGCCGGGAGCACGGAGCCGACAGCTTCTGGCCCGCTGGGCTGTGGCGGCGGCTCCACCGACTGCAGGCCGGCCACCCGGGCGCGGAGACCGCGGGCCATGGCGCGGGTGCTGATCGTGGGCGCCGGGCTGACGGGAAGCTTGTGCGCGGCGCTGCTGAGGAGGGAGGCGTCCAGTCCTCTGCGCCTCACTGTGTGGGACAAGGCCGGGGACTCAGGTGGGTCGTTTCCGGACGGAAGCCAGGGAAAGGAAGACCGGCGGGCACGCTGGCTTCTAAGGTGGTGTAGGCCTTCTCCAAGTGAGGCTCGGGGAACACCCAGCAGGTCGGCGGGCGCCTGATCACGTGATCAGAGACTTCCGGCGCCAGGGAAGGCCAGAACAGTGGGCGAGAGTTGGGGCGGCGACCCAGGCCGGGCGGTGGGGCGGGTGGGGGCAGGACGGGATCCCGGAGCACTTCCCTGGGAGGCCTGAGCGGCTGGGAGACATCCTGACTGGAGTTTGCAAAGCTTGGGCCTGCCGCTGTCGCCAAGAAGTGATTTTTTTTTTCCTTGGCTGCTCTGTACCCTGGCAGCTTTCTTTAGATTATGGGTATCCTCCAGTGCCCATTGACCACGACTTTCCGAAGATCTGTCTACTTGAGAGAATCCTGTCACTCTCCTGAAACCTGACAGCAAGAGGGAAGGCATTCGCTGATTCATTCATTCTGACGTTTCATTCATTATTTTGTTTTCTTTGGTCCATTCATTCATTGCCTTTATTCAGATCAGTATGTAGATGCAGCAGGCACAGTGCTGAAGGCTGCTGTATTATTCATGTGTCTTTTTAAAAAATATCTCACACCCCCTGACTGAATTGTCTTTGCTAATTACTTCCTAACAGTGTTAGATGACAAAACCTTCAGTTTAAGAAACAAACAATTCTTTTAGATCTCTGGAATCTGGAGAAAACAAAATTTTAAAATGTATTAATTATTATGAAATCTAAAAGTAAAAAATTAAAAATGTGTTTTCTGAAACGGTTCTAAGTTATCCATTTTGGTATAACCTGGGGTGATCAGTGTTAATTGTGAAATATTCATTCCAATATATTAAGATATTTTCCTGGGGACTAATTCAAGGAGGAAGAATGACTACAGCCAGCAGTCCTCATAATCCACAGAGCACAGTGGACTTGGGTGCCCAGTATATCACCTGCACTCCTCATTATGCCAAAATACACCAAAGGTGAGTTAGTTGAAAGGAGTGGAATCAGTCTTCCTGGTTGAGGATGAAAAAAGATACAAATCATCCATTTTTTAACAGAGTTAAACTCTGACTCTTGTAATACAGTGAAATTATATCATCATCATTGATCATAGTATTAATAGCAATAAAAGATTTACATAAGTAAAGTGGGAAAACTGTAATACATGCCTCTCCAGTGATTGTGAAGATCAGGTGAGATGTTATATGGAACATGGTAAGAGCTCAATAAATAGGAGTTAACTATGTTGGTGTTGAGAAAGAGGACAGATAACTGTGATGGAAGTCAAATCTTAACCAGATTTAAAATTGGTGTAATGAATACCTTTCTGTTTATTTTCACTGACTTTAATTTTGAAATATATGAGAAAGTAGACCTTTGACTATGATCAGCAAGAGACTATGAATTCTCAAAATGTTTCCATTCTTCACCAAAATTATGTCTTATTAACACAAAACATATGTTGAGTTGTTTATAAGAAGATTTCTAGTTTTTATTTAGGATTATAATCTTGAAGAATTCTTTGAAGAGAATTTAGTGTTTAGAGCTAAGTATAGCATATAGTTATGTTATACATTTTGATTTGTTTCAGTTTTTATGATGAATTGTTAGCTGATGGCATTTTGAAGCCTCTGACCTCTCCTATTGATGGAATGGTGATAAAAGAAGGAGACTGTAACTTTGTAGCACCTCATGGAGTTTCTTCAATTGTTAACCATTACTTGAAACAATCAGGTGAGAATAAAATTTTCTCTTGCCTTCTTTTAAAGTAAGCATTTTAAACTAAAAGTTATACACATAATTAAATACTAATACTGTAAGGAAAGTTATAAAATAGATGTTCTCCTATGCACCACTCAAGAGCTAGTTTTCTTCCCCTAAAGTAATCACTGTTTCCTATATATGCTTCCAGAAAAATGTTTCTGCATCTATCTCTTGCTCTATGTGACTGTCTCTATTTCCCTATTTATAGACGTTTGTATATATTCTTTTTTAAAACATAGATGAGATTATTTTATATAAGCCATTCTATGCTTTATTTCATCTATGTTTATAATAAACCAATCTCTCTCTCTTATCTATGTCTATATCTATCCTATTGATACTATCTCTCTGGAGAACCCTGACTAATACATAATCATTGACTGAATCATATCTTTGGTCTGTTTTCATATCAGCAAACTCAGTGTTCTTCATTCTTTTCAATGCCTGTTCAGTATTACATGGTATATGAATATCATTTATTTAACTGTTAACTTTCTGTTAAGTATGTAGATTGTTTGGGGAGTTAGGGATTGTTTTGTTTTATGCTAATACCAATATTGCTGCAATTTCTAACTCTGACATACTTTTGCAAGTATATCAGTAGGATCAGTTCCTAACAGTATAGACGGTGTGTCAATGGTTTGTGAATTTTTTATTTAACTAAATTGTGCCATCTATTCCTATTAAGGAATATGTCATCAATAGTAAATGAGAACATGTCTTTTTGTACATCTTGATATTATGGAAAATAAAATTTTTTGCCCGTATGATGGGTTGAAATGATATTTCCTTGTGGTCTGATTTGCATTTACTTAGTTATGAGTGAGTTTATGCACCTTTGTTTTGCTAACCAAGTTTGTGCATTTTTTTCTGTGAATGTCTTATAACCTTTGCCCAGTTTCTATGAGGATTTTCATTTGTTTTTATGTATATGATGAGTGTTTTAAAATGGACTTTTTTTTAAAAGGATGACAAATAATCCTGGATGGTTAATGATTTATCCTTTAAAATAGAAATAGACTTATTGATAGATCATAATTAAATGCCCAATTGAAGATCATTGAGGAAAAGTATAAGTTGAGACTTTGTTTTATTTCATAAGCTATTTCTAGAATAATTACTGTTTGGACTACATCAAATATTACTTGGGCTTCCATGGTGGCTCAGATGGTAAAGAATCTGCCTGCAATGCAGGAGACCTGGGTTCGATCCCTGGGTTGGGAAAACGGAGACGGGAATGGTTCCCCACTCCGGTATTCTTGCTTGGAGAATTCCGAGGACAGAGGAGCCTGGCAGACTATAGTCCATGGGGTCTCAAAAAGTCTGGCACGACTGAGTGACTAAGCATAGCACAGCACAAATATTACTTATTGTGAAGCCTGAGAATCCCGATACTGGGCATGAGAGAAGGCAGTGGGACTAAATATACAACATGAGGACACAGTAAATACCATTCCAGGCAAGGCCATTTCTTCATCTAGGATTCAGAATATTATGGTGTAGTCATCAGGATTTTCCAGAAAAAAAACAGAACTGAAAGCATATATTTATATAGATTGGTAAATTTATTGTACAGAATTAGCTTATGTGATTTTGGAGGCTGGCAAGTCTGAAGATCTGCCGGGCGAATTGACAAGCTAGAGATCCAGGAGAGCTGATGGTTTAGTTTCAGTCCAAAAGCCGGAGACCCTGGAGAGCTGAAGGTACAGTTCCAGTTTTGGTGACTGGCGAGCTCAACACCCAAGAAGAGCAGATGTTTCAGTTCAAGTCTGAAGGTAGGAGAATGAAACAGTGTCCCGGTTCAAAGGCTGTCAGACAGGAAGACTTTTTTACTGGTGGGAGGGTCAGCCTTTCTGTTTTATTCAGGTCTGTGACTGATTGGATGATACCCACCTACATTAGAGAGGGCAACCCGCTTTATTCAGTCTACCAATTTAAATATTACTTTCTTCCAAAACACCCTCACAGACATACCCAGAATAGTATTTGCCAAATATATGAGAACCTCATGACTCAGTCAAGTTGACATGTAAAATTAACCGTCACAGATGGTGACACTATTTGTATATTTTGTAGAATGTCATCAGCTTCATATATTGCCACCATATAACTTTAAAAAAAAAATCTCATTTCCATCATGACTTTTACTTAACCCAAATTAGATGTACATACTTATTAGAATCTCCAAGTACTTACTAATCATATTATATATCTAGCCATCCATATATGCATACACCTATTCATTCAATAAACATTTGCTGAGTGCTTACTATACACTGTTTTAGACACTAGTGATACAAGAACCAAAGTTCCTGCCATCATATAGCTAAGGGACAGTCCTTGAATACACCATACCTACATCCTTTTTATGTTAGGTGTTTGGGGTAATATATGATATTTGGTTTTCTTTTTCCAATTTTGCTTTGGAAACTCTTGGGAGAAGAGGTCATATTTATTTGTAGCTCACATAGAATCTATTGGTACCTGGTATATAGTAGGTAGGTATAAGTGAGTTAGATTTCTTATACATATATATACACGTGTGTGTGTGTGTGTGTGTGTGCGCGCGCGCGCGTGTGCGTGCTTAGTCACTTCAGTTATGTCTGACTCTTTACAACCCTATGGACTGTAGCTCACCAGGTTCCTCTCCATGGCAAGAATACTGGAGTGGATTGCCACGCCCTTCTCCAGGGCATCTTCCCGACCCAGGTATTACACCCCATGTCTTTTACGTCTCTTGCATTGGCAGGTGAGTTCTTTCCTTATAGTGCCACCTGGGAAGCCCTATATATAAAAATACATATATTTATTCATTGTAGTTTAACCAATTCTTCCTAAAAATCTCTTTATACTTTGAATTTGTACAGTCTCTTGAGAGCATGAGTACTTTAGATTTTCTTATAACTGTGAAATATTTAAGTAACTTTTAAAAAAGAATTACATACTAATAGTTGAAAATCTGGAAAATAACGGAAAATTAGCAGGGAAAAGTGTCACAATAATATGTAAGTCAGTTGTAAGTTCATTCTGTGACATACTTTCTGCTTAAAAAATAATTTTTATATAATTGAGTTCAAGGCCTACATAATTTGAGTGTATATAAACTTTTTCTTAGTTTAATATTATCTTTGTAATGTTTCAAGGGGTCTTTCCACCCTCTACCCAGATCTATTATTAGAGGTTTTATAAACCATCTATACCATTTAAAATTTTATAATTATATCCCTTTGAAAAAGTGTTAGTCACTCAGTTGGGTCCCCATGGACTATAGCCCGATAGGCTCCTTTGTCTGTGGAATTCCTCAGGCAAGAATACTGAAGTGAGTAGCCATTCCCTTCTCCAGGGGATCTTCCCGACCTAGGAATTGAACCTGGGTCTCCTGCATTGCACACGGATTCTTTACTGTCTGACCCACCAGGGAACCCCCAATAGCCCTTTAAACATTCTTTAAACTTCTTTAAATCTTTCTGCCTATAAATGGCTTCTATCCTATTTTAGTATTTCCACAATGAAAGTTGAGAGAGTCCCTGGAGTCAGAATGACCTGGATTCAAATTCACATTCTACCACCCTTTCCTAGCTGTGTAATATTAGGAAAGTGTTAAAATCTGTACTTTAGTTCTTTCATTGGAAAAATGAAAGCAATAACAATACCTACTGCAAAGTTTTGTGAAGAATAAAGGATATAATCTACCCATTGCCAATTCAAGCAAATAATAGGCCATATACTTAGAAATCTTTTGATAAATGTTAGCTTAAAAAATAATCTTAAATGAAGCTGATCTTTGCATGTGCTCAGTGTATAACAACCCAAACTGCCAGGTCATTCCATATTTACTTTACATTTGGGAATCAGTTAAGTTCACACCCCTACAGTCTTATGATACTACCAGTTTTATTTAGTTTGCAACCAGACTTCCAAGGAAATTATCTGTAAGGAGTATGTCCAGCCAAGTATGCTTTAGAATAGGTTCAAATATCTAAAGCCAATATTTAAGTAGACCAGTTTTCCAGAATGAGTGGTAAAGGGTAGGAGGAAATAGGCACATGCCACTTGTGTTCTGTTCTCATTTATTGTTTCATGTGTTCACTTTAAGCTTATTACAGAGAAAATTATTTATTGGCATTAATTTTACCTACTTCCTGTTTTCCCAATTAATGCTGTCTTCTGAGTAAATAAAATGTGATTTTTCTATTTTTATGTTTTATTTATTTATTTTTTTGTTGTCATTATTGTAGGAGTAGGAGAAATTCAAAAGAATAAAAACTACTCTATCATTTGTTAAAAGCTATTAATCTGATGCTGTGTTAGGCATTTAGCATACATCTAATTATTATATATATATATTATATATATATATTATATGTATATATTATATATATAATTATTATATAACCATTCATGGTAATTTTCATTATCCTCATTTACTAATGAGAAAAATGAGACTCAGACAAGTTAAGTACATTGCTTATAATAGCTTAACTAGTAAGTAAGACTCCAGCACTCTCTTTAAGCTGACCCTGTTGTCATTACCTTTTGAGGATCCCATGGAGGACGATCAGAAGGCCTCAGACCTCTGATTTAACATCTTTTCCTTCCTGGTTTTTCCCCTATAGTTTGAGAGATTGCTCCCATCCCACCCTGGTTCAAGAGAACAGACTCATGGAGCCCTGCCCCTGGGCCCCCTCTTTCACTGATTAGTCCCTGCCCCAGGGGGAAGGAAGGGGCTACCAAGGAGTCTTGCCATATATTTCTTTATGCACTTGGGAAGATCAGTCACATGATGGTTCTTTCTGTGACATTTGGACAGTGATGAACCCAAGCCCTTTTGCTTTTGAATAAGGCCCATGTTATTAAATCATTCATAAGAGGATGAATTTAGTTTCTAGGATAGGGTGAGCAGCTTTTATTTGGTTTGGCCTTGTGGCTCGGCTGGTAAAGAATATGCCTGCAGTGTGGGAAACCTGGGTTCCATCCCTGGGTTGGGAAGATCCCCTGGAGAAAGGGACGGCTACCCACTCCAGTATTCTGGCCTGGAGAATTCTGTGGACTGTATGGTCCATGGGTTGCAAAGAGTCAGACACAACTGAGTGACTTTCACTTTCATTTCGCCACAGGAAGAACTATTGCTGTATTTATTTGTTTTTATTTTACCATCTACTTCAAAAAGGGACATGGACTAACAATTGAAAGTCAACATGGACAACATATTGGTTTGGCCAGAAAGTTCATTGGGATTTTCTGTAAGATGTCATGGAAAAGTCTGAACAAGCTTTTTGGCCAACGGAAATGATTTATTAGAAAAGATAGTTTAATTTGCAGATACTATCAGCCAGTGTGACTTCTTTCTGGCAATATTTAATTTTAATCATATTCTCCCTTTTTACTTTTGTGATTATTTTCTTTCTAACATTAATGTAAGGAAATTAAGTCTGGGCAGTTCTGTCTCAAAATGGCTCCTAGGCAGGTGATCATGGCACTCATCCATAACAGTGTCTTTCAGAGAGAAGGTAGAGGGTAACCTGAGACCTTGGTTAAGCACTCCGCAGTGAACTTTAAGCCGTGCTTGTAGTTAGACACTGCTTACTGGTCCATCTCAGTAGTTCTGAACTGAAACCTGTTTGTAGGAAATTATTGGAGAAAGAAAAATTTAGATGCTCTAACATGGAGGGGCTTCCCCGGTGGCTCAGACAGTAAAGAATCTGCCTGCAATGCAGGAGACCAGTTCTATCCCTCAGTCAGGAAGATACCCTGGAGAAGGAAATGGCAACCCACTTCATTGTTGCCTAGAGAATTCCATGGACAGAGGAGCCTGGCAGGATACAGCCCCTGGGGTCACAAACGGTCAAACATGACTAACACTTGTGACTAACATTTACTAACATTTTCTAACATGGAGGAAGACAGGGGATAGGCATTGAATAAATACGTAACAGAAACATATTTGCCTTTGTAAAATGGTTAAAATTTCTTTGTAGTTTGATATCTTTTTGGCTATCTGAAGATTTAAAAAAAATTTTTTTATGAAATATGTGCTGGGGAAACAGTGATAAGTAAAACACATTGAACCTCACCTTTGTTAATGTAGAGCATAGTTGGAGGGAAAGACAAAAGCTAATCTCATGCACATAAAAATGCACATAATAAATGCTAAGAAGAAAAAGTGAGTGTAATGAGTGAGCTAAAGTAATAGGACCTAAGCTAACGTGAGTCTGAAAAGAGTGAGAAAGGGGAAATGTGTCAGGAAAAGCATCTCTAAGAAACTAATGTTTTCATAGATACTTGCAAGGTGAGCAAGAGTGAACTAGGCCAAGAGCTGAGTGGTGAGAATTGCATGCAATGGACATATCAAGTTGAAACTATTCTCAAGTAGGAGGAAGATGGTGTATTTATGGAATGAAAAGGTCATTGTGACTGGAGGGTAGTAAATGAGGGAGAAAACAGTAGGTGAAGTTCAAGAGTAAGGCAGGGGCCAGATCATAAAGGGCTTTGTTAGCACTATTAAGATTTTATACTTAATCCTAAATACAATGAGAAACCTCTGAAAAATTATATGCAACACAGGGACATGGTGACATTTACTAAGCTCAGACTGAACATTTTTATGTAGTTTTCTGGCTGTTTAAAAATGATCTTCCAGAGCCTTAGATTTGGTCATGTGGTCCTTTCAAAATTTATTAGGTACTTTCACAAGGAAATGCCACTTTCCCAGAAACTTGAATCATCACAATTGGAAAGGAAAACTTCCTGGCTAGAGCAGGTATACCACTGCCCCTAATTCTTGGAAAATACTGTTTTTTAGTGGCTTTGCCAGTTGCAGTGTTAGATTTGTGTCTATTTATCTACCCCGTGGTTCTCACACTTTAATGTGCATGGTAACAAAGCCGGAGGCTTCTTAAATGCAGACTGCTAGGCCTGATCCCCAGATTCTGATTCAGGTCTGAGTTGGGACCCGAGGATTTGCGTTTCTAGCAAGTTCCATGGTGCATCTGGTCTGAGGTCCACACCTAGAGAACCACTGATATTCATCTTGCAGAACACTTCGGGACCACTGGGATATATGTCTAAGGCGTTTGACTGGATTTGAAGAATTTCTGTTAAAAGTTGGTGTAGTTCAGTTCTCTTAACCACACCCTCCTACTGACCACCAAAAGCAAAACCAATGTAATGCTGTTTTCAAAGGGAATATTATGTGAAAACACAACTGAATAAAGTTTATAAAGTCAGTTGACTTACTTGAAGTCTGGATCAGAGCCAGGACTAGAGAGAGAGACACGTGAAGCAACCAAGTCAGGGGAAAGACATCCTAAAGGAACTGAAGAGAGGGAAGTGGAGCCGCTCTGGTTGGAGTCAAGGGAATGGTGGGTGTGAGTTCAAAGCACCAATTATTTGCACCTTCCCTGAAGAGGGTCCTTAAGAAACCCTCAGGCAAGTTGGAATGCTATTTACAAACCCTTGCTCTAATTCTTTGAACAGAAAGACTCTAATTGCCTCAAAGAGATTGAGGGCATCGGTCCTTCTTACATATTTGCATTTGATTTTTAAAACTTGTAATTACTATATTGTAGAGTTATTCAAGGGAATATGAAAGATATAAAGGTGTATGAGATCTAGAGACCTGACATGGAGGAGCCCTAGAGTATTTGGGGATTGATAAGACATGTCTAGGGCTTCCCAGGTGGTACCAGTGGTAAAAAGCCTGTCTGCCAATGCAAGAGATATAAGAGATGCGGGCTCCATCCCTGAGATGGGAAGATCCCCTGCAGGAGGGCATGGCAGTCCACTCCAGAATTCTTGCCTGGAGAATCCCACGGGCAGAGGAACCTGGTGGGCTACAGTCCATAGCGTTGCTAAGAGTCAGACATGACTGAAGCAACTTAGCAAGACATATCTAAAACATAGAGATACTTTGAATCAGTGTCCAAGTGAGTGGTAAAGGCAGTGATTATGGAGATGAGAAGGTTCACACTGAGCCAGAATAGCTACGGAAAGGGAGCTTCATGCCAAGGTTGGACTTAAGCTGGATTCTTAGTAGTTAGGAATATGAGATGTCACATGCAATGATGGACAGGATCTTTTAGTGTCCTTTTTTTCCCCTTTATTCCATTTTCATTTATTTACTTTCTATTCATGAGGCCAAATAAAAGTAGATTTGTTTTAAAATGAAAGTTTTCTGAAAACTAGAATGTGAGGTAAGAATTAGTATACCAAGGGGACTTAATGATACAATTATATTTTCCTAGCTTTCAGTTCATAATTCATTCTCTTAAACAAATATTGGTTAAATACCTCTGTTCCCAGTGCAATCTTTATATACTATATGCTATGCATAGAAAAAATAGGTGTAAACTCATGGAGCTTACAAATTAAAAGGGAATAAAATATCAATCATATAAGTACTCAAATAATTATTAAAATATACTTGTGAAAAGTGCAAAGAAGGGAAAAGAGAGGATATTCCAGATTGTATATTTCTTAATTTTGATTCTTAATTAAAATAATTATCTATTGATAAGACTTGGATTTTGCTTACAGAGTTACTTTTTCAGGTTTAATAGGGAATATTGATATTTTTAATAAAGAATATTACCGGAGAGAAGAATCCTTAACACCTTTACTAAGATGTATACTTGCTCTACCAAGATAGTGATCTTTATAGTCAGAAGATATGGATTTAAATGACATGACAATTCTAAATCTGTTTCCTTTTCTATGAAATGAATTGGTATAATGTATATCTAGTGTTTGGCATAGCCTTGGCATACAGTAGATGATTAATGAAAGATCACCGTGGTTACTGTTGTTATTAACTGTAGTAGTATTTTTTCCCCCAGCACGCAATGACAGGGAAGTCTAACAGTACCAGAAGGGAGGGAGTCCCATTACGTGAGATAGAAAGTGAAGCCCAGGAAGCTGTAGGAGATGAACTTCACATTCTACTCATCTGAATGGATCCAGTTTGTGACTTCTCTTCCCCCTTATTCATGTGGAAAATCCCAATTATGTGAGCATGATTTTGCTTTTGGAACAGGTGCTGATATCTGCTTCAGACAACGTGTGACCCAGATCAATTTGAGAAACAACAAGTGGGAAGTCTCCAGGGAAACAGGCTCTTCTGAGCAGTTTGATATCATTGTCCTCACGATGCCTGCTCCTCAGATTCTGCAGCTTCGAGGTGACATCGCCAACTGTGAGTCTCAGCCTGCGCTGTTAACCTCAGGGACTGGGCTTTCTCTGATCTGAGTGAATTCAGCTTAACTGTCTTAGCAAAGGGTAAGATATGGGTTCTACTGATTTGCATGTTCTAAAAACAGATAATATGGCCTGGTTCATGATACTAGTCTCGGTCAAACTGCAATCCAGATTTTTTTTTTAAAAATTAAAAATTGAGTATTTCTCTTTTTGTTCTTGTCTTTAAGAAGTATTTTTGAGGAAGATATAGTAGTTTGACCCAAAAGAAGAACAATCTCTTTGTGGCTATTCTGGAAAAAAAGATTTTTATGATGTAAACAGTGATTATGTGACAAATATGGTAAACTTTATCTTGAATTGTTCCTGAGTGTGAGTCTCAGGTTCTTCCCTGACTGAAATTTGTTGGACTCCCCCTTTACCTAACTTCTCCCACCTCTTTTCATAAAAAACAACTAAACAACCCATCCACCTGAAGTGTGTATTTCAATGGTATTTATTTCAGATATCCAATGACATGAAACCATTCCTGCAGTCAATAGCTCTCACTTCCATCCCTCCATCTTCCATCCCTGCCCCCAGCTCTAAGCAGACAATAAGCTAGTTTCTGTCTCTGTAGAGTTCCCTGTTATCTGGATTCTCAAGAAGAGCTTTTCTATAAGCTCTGCTTTGTGTCTACCTGTGCCAGGTTTAACTGATTATTTCCCTGACCTTCATCGTGTTTTGAGTGAACCTGATACATCAAAGTCATTGATTTCTGGATGATACTACATATTGCCTTGAATTCCATGAATTGAAACAAGACAGAGTCTGGTGATGGTGGCAAGACTTCAAGGATGTGACATGCCTGTAGCTTTTGACTTTGTTGCGTGACTGAAGGTGACATTGGATTTGATTGAGAAATGGCCTTTTGTCACCATTGGAAAGAAACCTGGCAATAAGTATGGTTTATAGATCTTAGAATTAGAACGGTAATAGAGCTTGTTCTCTGAGGAAGAATGGAGCTGGATATTTCATCTTGAAAGCAGTTTGAGTATCAGTATCAAACCATGCAGTAACAATATATAGCTTCTTTTCTAGTATAGTGTGAGATAGGAATATAAAAAGGACTGGAATATTTATTAGATGGCTATAGGCAAGCTAGAAAACTAACGTCAGGGATCTCTTTCATGCATCTATATCTAGTGTGCTACCGAAGTCACTTTAAAGTAGGATGATTTATTGTCATGGATTCTCTAAAAATTGAATTGATTTTGAGACAGTGTTAAATAACGTATTGTAACTTTTAACTAAAACATGGTTATTGGTCAATGTATTCAGTTGTGTTATAAATTGCATATTCCAGTTTTTAAAGCTACAGAGCTTTGTATGTAATGAGAGACCTGTTAGTGATGCATTTTAAAAATATTTCTCAATATTTGTATTAAATGACATACAAAGTATCACGCCATGACATAGACTGAGTCCTAAGATGTTCAAGGGCCTGCTAATCAATAATTTTATTTAGATCATCTATAGTCTTATTTTTTGAGTAGCTGAACTGTGTTGGGCTGAGAGAGATAAGTTCACGCTACTATTACTTATTGCTGGTTTCCTGGGGTTTGGGGAGGTGAATTTTGCTTTATGAATTTTTGATACTATATTATTTGATTCATAATATGTTTCCATTAACATTATACCCTTTAATTTAAATTCTTTCTTTAGTGTCATTTTAATTTTATTTTGCTTTCACATCAACCTTGACTGATAAGTAAGATGATTGTTCTTTTATTTTCATTTGTCTGGTACATCCTTTTTACTTTAACCTTTTGGAGATATTTATTTTAGAAGTACTTTTTTATTTGTTTATTTTTGAGTCTAGTAATTTCATAAAGATATATCTTATTGTTAATAGCTTTGTGTCAGTTTTTCACAGATTACTTGTTTTTTATTTGAAGATTCAGCTTTTACCTTATTTTCAGCTCAGCTTCCTTTTAATACTTAAATGATTTATCTTTGTTCCATTTATTATGATCCCAGAGTATCTTAAAAAATTCAGTACACAAATATCTGCCATTTGTCTCAACTCAGTTTCAATTTTGGTCTTTCTGTTATTTTTTACTTTCTATTTCTAGCCTTCCTCTATGTCAACCATGTTGCTTCCAAATGTATTCCTTTTGCTCCCTTCCTTGAGATATTGTTTCAAAGAGGTCATAGATTTCTTCACTGTTTTTAGGTCATTCATTGCCTGAGTATTTGTTGAACTAATCTGCTTCCTAGAAAAATATTTTCTAATATGTCTTTTCCTCAGCTTATTTGTTAGGGTCTGTTATGTTCTATTGTCTTCCTTTCCTCTGCATAGGTTCTTGCCTAATCATTAGTCATCTTTAAATAGGGCCATTTCTATCAGTTTGTGAAAGTGTTGTCACAGAAGACCAGACATTTCAGCTAAAGTATGTTCCATAAATTTTGTAAATACCTATCTATGAACTATTAAATGCTAGTGATCATTTTATTTACTAACATGGAAAGATTTTGAAATATTTTTAAGTTAAAAAGGATAAAAAGGTGCATCGCTTTTTCTTCTGTGTCTACCAAAAATAGTTTAATAGCATTGTTACTGCTTCAAGATGGTTTTCATTTTCTTTATCATAATTTTTTGAACAGCCATAACTTTAAAAATAAAGGTAGGTTACTCTTATTATAAAAAATGTATAAAAAATGTAATGTTTACACCATTTTAAAAGTGTATCATGCTGAAAAGGAAATAGATCTTTTTCCTTTTCTTTTTTAGTGGTAGGATACATAGGCTCTTTAGGGGTTTCCCAGGTGGCTCAGTGGTAAAGATCTGCCTGCTAATGTAGGAGATACCAGAGAATCAAGTTCAGTCCCTGGGTTGGTAAGAACCCCTGGAGGAGGAAATGGCCACTCACTCCAGTATTCTTGCCTTAAAAGTCCCATGGACAGAGGAACCTGGTGGGCTACAGTCTGTGGGGTCCTACAATCTCTGGGGCCCCAAAGATTTGGATGTGATAAGAGCAAACATATAAGCTCTTTGTGATGAAAAAGTTTAAGAATGATTGACTTAGTACTTTTGACTGAGGGCAAGGATCTTTGGGGTGTTGTTCCAGCTCAGTTCAGAATTGGCCTTCATGCAAATAATTCTGTGTTTACTTCGTTGTTATGAAATAACCCACTCTAGCAGTAAAGGTTAAAAACAGAATGTCCTAACATGACCCTTGAATACCTATGGGTCTAAAACAAAGGGATTAAAAATATATGATTTCTCTTTATGTTATAAATCTCAATAAGGACCTCAGTATGAGAAATTAGTGTCATCGCTCTGTTTTTGGAGAACCTTAAAAGTGTTGCTTGCTTGTTCAGTCAATTTAGCTCAGTCTGTCAGTCGTGTCTGACTCTGTGACTCCATGGACTGCAGCACTTCAGGCCTCCCTGTCCATCACCAACTCCTGGAGTTTACTCAAGCTCAGGTCCACTGAGTCGGTGATCCTTGCCAACCACCTCATCCTCTGTCGTCCCCTTTTACTCCCGCCTTCAATCTTTCCCAGCAGCAGGGTCTTTTCCAATGATGTCATCTTCAATGTCTATGAAAGACTTCCGTTTACAAAGCTATCTATTGCCATCTAGTGGACACAGTATATATTTCAGTTTCCCTCCGAATTTTTTAACTCCAGGAAACTGGGGGCTTCCCTGATGGCTCAGAGGGTAAAGAATCTGCAGGAGACACAAGTTCCATCCCTGGGTCGAGAACTATGAATAAGACTGAAATATAGGCTATATATAAAATCATCTGTAATATAATTCACAAAACTCCATTCACACAAGGAAATAAATTTAGGCCCATGATAATTAACTAACTTACCCAAAAGTCTATAGCAATTAGTGACAGAACTAGGGCTGTGCTACAGGTCTCACATTCGTGCCGACCTGTGTCTCTGGACTCCTTTGTTCTTGTCTTCTCATTCTCCCTGTCCCTCTTTCTCAGTCATGTCTACTCGTAGGATCAATATAGAGCCATCTCTAACCTGAAAGACTTCCCTTTGGATTACAGCATGATCTGGATTTTCCCTTATCTATTTCTCCCTTTCCCTATTTTCCTTTTTACAAGAAAAACAGAGCTAGTGTTTTTGGAAGTTAATTATTACATTCTCCCAGTTGGGAGAATAAGGAAGCTTTATGCACGATATAATGGATGTCTTGTGATTCATGATTTGCCATCTGGTTGTGGAATGGCAACCCACTCCAGCATTCTTGCCTGGAGAATTCTATGGACAGAGGGGCCTGGTGGGCTACAGTCCATGGAGTCCCATAGAGTCGGACTAACTGACTAACTAACATAACTGAGCGACTAACACTTTCACTTTATAACTGTGCTACTCTGTGTAATATTAATATTACAGAGACTAACTCACTTGATCCTCACAATGATTCTAATGACTATTATTTCCATTTCTGGTGATGATGGTGAGATGTGAGCTTTAGTAGTGTGATTTCAGGGCCTATACACATAACCACTTTTAGACACAGTGTCTTAGACCTTGCTATTACTGATTGTTTCCTGTACTTGTGAATTCCCACAATGTCCTGCTCATTCTTGTTCACCATGTTTTCCAAAGTTTCCTTAATGAACACTGTGAGTTAAAAAAAAAAAAACTTAAGGGGCCGACAAAGGTCTGTATAGTCAAAGTATGGTTTTTCTAGTAGTTGTTTATGGCCATGAGAGTTGGACCATAAAGAAGGCTGAGTGCCAAAGAATTGATGCTTTTGAACTGTGGTGCTGGAGAAGACTCTTGAGAGTCCCTTGGACTGCAAGGAGATCAAAGTAGTTAATCCTAAATGAAATCAACCCTGAATATTCATTAGAAGGAATGATGCTGACGCCGAAGGCCCAATACTTTGGTCACCTAATGCAAAGAGCCAACTCACTGAAAAAAGATCCTGATGCTGGGAGAGATTGAAGGCAAAAAGAGAATGGGGTGGCAGAATATGAGATGGTTAGAT